CCCCCCCCCCCTTTTTTTTTTTTTTCAGTGCAGTTTGTCCTCTGCACATTTTACCTTCCTGGATTATAATATCTTAACGGTAGTCATTTTTAACTCTGGTTGATCTTGAGACGTATATGGAATTGGAGACTGCAGTTTGATTACACTATATTTATTGTGCCCCATTGCAATTTTCTCTGTAACAAAGAAAGAAATATGTACAATTTGAAAATGAATGTACAATTTTAAATTGAAGTTGCATTTGTAAAGTCTTTGTCAGATGTCACAATGTTAATGCACAGGATGTGTACAGATTATTTATGTTAAGAATAAAATAGTTCAACGGCCTTTCAAGCATTACACAGTCCAAACGAAATAACTTGCTCATAGCACCAATTCTTTCTTCACAAAGCAACGTATCATTTCATAACTGTGCAGGTGATGCCATAATCTATGCCAGAAAAAAAAAAATCACTGTGCTGAAATTCTACTTATGCTTGGCTTCCAAATATTTTTTATAATGTTTGTTTTTCCAAGTGGTATCAATAGCAAATGCCATCGAGTTTCATGGGTTTTAGCCTTTATCGCTGGGCTGCTGGGTCTAGATGTATATTCTTGTTTCATACATTAAAAAAATAAAAAAGGCACTTTCCTGATAGAAATTCATTGCTGTGATGTGTACTAGGGAAGAAAAGGGAACATAGAACCTGGCCTGAAATGTGGACGATTCCAACCCTGCGAGTGCAGATTGGTACATGCGTTCCACCCACCCAGAGATATTTTCCTACAGAAGATGAAATGCTCACATTTTGACTCTGGCAGACAACAAAATGCTGTTAACAAAATGTAGCATGACATCAGTACTAACTGCATGTGTAAATATATCATATGGGCAACAATAAAAAGATAAATTATGTATTGTCATTCATTTAGTATCTACAAATTTGTAATGATTGAAGACAAGACATGCTATTTAATAATACAATAAAATTATTCTTACCACCTTTTGTATATTAGTCATTCACCTCAGTGATTAGATTCTTCCTCCAACTTATAGAATAGCATGCTATACATGGAGAAGTTAAGTGCGATATATCGTGTAGTTTTCAATTGTATTTAAAAAGTACACACGAGTTCTTAGGAGCTCTTTCCCAACCCATCGCAAGAATGCCGTACTGAAAACTTTTCCTTAGATGTAGTAAATAAAATACACGTAGCTCCACGGGTAATGCAAAGTGCAGGACGTTCCCTCCTGCAGGCTGGTGGTTCGAGTGCTGATTATAGGAGCAGTTAAGAATCATCAGGTTTCTGTGGTCCGGAGCCCTTCGTCTTTGCACAAGTGGAGAAAGGAGAGCGATGTTTTAAAAAAACATGGTGACCTTCCCCAGGAGAGAGCTCATTTAATTGCATAAACAGGCATTTTTACCTAAGTCTCCATTACCAACAAATGATGGAAAAATGCACAACTCAAAATAAAATTATTTATTTCTGGCATATAAGAAGAGTGAGCTGCAAGTTTCGCCTCCTTCGTCAGACGGCAAATCTTGGCTGCTTCAGGTTGTATTGTATTAATTCATTTGTCTAGGTCCTGGAACTAAAATGAGAAAGTCTGTGAAGCACATTTAGAATAAAGCACTTAGCACTTAATTTCAGCCTTTGGGCATGATACACATGAATCTTTTGTTGTGTGTAACAAAATATAACACTACAGAAATAATTGCTTTAGAGGATGCTAATCAAAAGATTGAAATATTTTGCATGCTCATTTCAGAGAGAGCATTAGAGACTATGGCTAGGATCAATTCGGTTCTTCAGAAACCACCGGCTGACCTGCTTTGCCCTGCTGAATTCAAGAAAGGCGTGAGCTTTATTTTAAATCCTTTATTGAATTTGCTTGCCCTTATTTTTGTCCTCATCTGCTATCACATTTAGAAAAGACCACTTGTGTGGAAATAAATAAATAAATAAATAAATAAATAAATACCAGCCGAAGTGTCAGTAGCGGGTAAATTTGACCATATTTCAAAGCATTTGGCCAGACCGCTGTTAAAGCCAGAGAATACACACCGCAGGTTGCTTTGCTAAAGGTAGGTCTCGTTAGGGAGAAGGAAGGTAAGCTGTCATCTGCGCTTTAGCAACATATCAAAAGACTGTTTCATGTTCTAATTTCAGCTGTTCACAAGACTCGGAGGAGCTCACATCAGCAGCGCAGCTCATGGCAGAGAGGGATCAGAGGCCGCCTGAAAGGGCCAGGTGCAGACAGAGACCCTCTGCCTGCCCACGATGC